ATCCACCAATGATATTCCTCACCACCATAGATATGAAATCACAGCCAGATTGGCCCTATAATTTTTGGGAACCTTTCCCGCACCACTATTCCCCAACTTTTGAAGACAAGCTTTTGCAAAGGAAAAAAATAGACATATTGACTAAAGATCGCGGGTGAAACATTCTTCTCTTTCTTTTTATTTTTTTTGGTTTTATTTCTTGGGTGTTTGGTTTGAAAGAGAATTTTAGGATAAATTTTTTTCCCTAATCCATTCACTGTCTGGGTTTTGAAAGGGTGACATGAATTTGAATTGAAGAGGAAAGATAGTGGCGATTTTGGAGTAGTTGCGGCGATGGTGGCAGCAGAAATACCATGGCTGGTTGAATCGATTGTAGTAATGGAGAAAAATTAGAATAAAAAAAAGGCTAAGTAGGTTTAATTGTGTGCTTTCATATGGAAGAGGAAGGGTGGCAGTGTGTGGTAGTGGTGGTGGCGGGTGGAAGAGGCAAATATGGAGTGGTGGAGAGAGGAGAAAGGTTTGGGTTTTTTTTTGGAGAAGAAAGGAATGGGTTATGAGTTTGATTTTTTTATTAAAAAATATGTTTTTAAAAATAAATAACGACGTGTCATTAATTTATATGAGGTGGATCCTTTATATCAGCGCGAATGAACAACACACGGTATCGGAGGTGTTTAAGACTAATGTTTTATACAAGTTCAAGTGTCTGGTTGAAACAATCTAGAGTAGGGGACCGGGATGTCAAAGCCGAATAAGTAGAGGTGCCTGTCAGGCTATTCTGTCTTGAAAATAAACACACTTCTCCTCACTCTTATTTCACCATCCTCTCCTAAACTTTCATAGTGTGACTTAGTAGCTTGATACCCTATAGTTGTTGTAATATTGGATGTCACCCTTGTTCTTGTACAACTGTATCATTGTACTCCACCTCCATTCCTCGGGCATCTTTGAAGTCCTAAAAATGACGTTGAACAATTCAGTGAGCTACTCCAAGTCTGCCTTACCGCTTTTTTTCAAAAATTCAACCAGAATTTCGTCAGGTCCGGTCGCTCTCCCCTACTGATCTTACGCATAGCCCTCTCAACCTCCTCCACCTTAATATCCTTACAATACCCAAATCTCGGCGACTCTCGGGGTATTCAAAATCACCCAACATAATGTCCCTGTCCCTCGTTTCATTCAATAATTTATGAAAGTATGCTTGCCATCTTCGTCTAATATATGCCTCTTCCACCAATACTTTATCTTCCTCGTCTTTGATGTACTTCACTTAATTCAGGCCGCAGGCCTTCCTCTCTCTCGCCATGTCTAGCCTGTATAGTTTCTTGTCCCCGCCTCTAACCCAAGTTCTTCATACAAGCGCCCAAACGTTGCCGTCTTCGCCGCTGTAACCGCTAATTTCGCCTCTTGCCTTCCTTATATCCCTCCCTATTTGTCTTCTTCTCCTCCTCGCCTTTGCTCCCCACTAACTTTAGATATACCTCTTTTTTTGCTTCCACTTTCCCTTGGACCTCTCTATTCTATCACCAGTCCTCTCTATGACCACCAACGTAGCCTTTCGAGACCCGTAACACCTCTCTAGCTGCTTCCGTGAGGCTTTTGCTGTCAAAGTCCACATACTACTCGCATCCCCAGTACTCCTCCCGGCCCTCATAGCTCTCAGCTTATCCTCCAACTCCTGAGCTTTGTCTTTAGTCCAGGCTCCCAATTGATCTTAGGCTTACCACACACAAACCTTTTCTTCCTCTTCTTCTTCCTGTTCCTCTTAACCCCCAAGTCCATGACCAAAAGCCTATGTTGGGTCGAGAGCGTCTCACTCTGAATAACCTTGCAATCCATGCACATACTTTCGTCACACTTCCTAAGAAGTAGGTAATCAATCTGGGTTTTGGCCACCATGCCCCAGAAGGTAACTAACTGCTCCTCCTTTCTATGGAAACTCGAATTTGCTAGCACCAACTCAAAAACTTTCCCGAAATCCGACAACAAAGTACCTCCTTCATTTTTATCACCAAAACCGAAGTCGCTGTGAACATCGTCATATCCTTTGGAGGTCGTGCCGATGTGGTCGTTGAAATCTCCTCCTATAAACAACTTCTCGGTTTGGGGATACCACGCACAACCTCGTCCAAATCTTCCCAGAAGCGACTCTTGACCTCTTCGCCTATGCCCGCTTGAGACACGTATGCACTAATAACATTGAAAGTAAGCCCTCCAACAACTAATTTAATGGCCATGAGCCTATCCTTCACCCTCGTGATCTCTACCACTTGCTTCCGGAGTTCCATATCAACCAAGATACCTATCCTGTTCGTACCCCTCACGCCTCCCGAGTAGAACAACTTAAACCTGTCTACATCTTGTATCTTAGTTCCCACCCATCTAGTCTCCAGGACACAAGCCATATTGATCTTCCTCTTAGGGAGAATCTTTACTAACTTTATAGATTTTCCCCTCAAAATTTTCATGTTCCAGGACCCAAACCTCACCTAGAAGCTTCCCTGCCCCCTTACCGCCCTTGCCTTCTGCCCCACCCGAGGACATGATATTACTTTAGCATCTAACTCTAAAGCCACTACACTTTAGGTAAAACTAAGCTAGACTAGCCCTTTAATCAAGCAAAAAGCCTAAAAAATGTAATACAGATTGAAACTTAAAGACACTAAGAGATGGTACGAAATACCAAGCAAATAATGTGCTAAATCTTGGGCAAACTAATTACTTAACAGGGAATGAAGACAAAAAAGTCGAATAGGTGAACAAGAGGTACCAACTCCCGAAAGCTAGAACCTGGAATGTTGTCAGGGACGACTACGCGTTGCTGCAGCACTCGACTAACCTTCCATAATTAGTGGAACAAAAAATAGGAAAATTTTATTCATTGCTAGTTTCGAAAATAAATATTTACAATGTATACGAAAATTAAATATGTTTTGCATTAGTGATATCTGAATATGAAATCTGCAATGTATCTATATCTATATCTAGGGATAATCACATCTCAATATATTGAAACCATACTTATTGGGGATTCCATCCCGATAGTCTGACCCCAACCCAATTGTCTAGGTAGTCATGTACTTCATGTGTACATCACGTGAGTCGGACGCCATCCCGTCAGTTATGAATGCTAGCCAATCTGAATCTACCTACTGTATATAAGTAGCATAATCTGATACTGCCACAATTGTGTTTAACTTTCTTGTGATGGCACCCTATGGGGGCAACCAGGATTTTATGTTCGTGGGTGCTAATTTTTCTTGATGTGTAATAACTACTTAATTTTTTGGTTGGTAGGTGCTTTCTTTTCCTTTTATATCAGATGCCTCAAATTTCTTATATAACTATATCTATGCTGTGTAAAGTTTAATGGGTGCTAAAGCACCTAAATTTAGTACGTAGCTCCGCCCCTGCACGGGGGGATGAATCGACTCATACCTTTTCAGCTTTCTACCAAACCATACTTTAATCTTAAGACATATATCCAAAACGTATATAATGCGTAAAGCTTAAAACATTTAAATAAGATATTCAATAGCTGTACTTGAGAAAATATAACCAAGTTTGGAACAGTATTCTGGTAATCTGAAGCAGACTTTCGCAAGTCACCATAGGAAAAAATATTATGCATCATATCATAAAATTGGTACCAAGCTACACATTTAAAATGTTTGCCTAAGCCGAAACTCATCAACACAAGCATGTACTTATCCTCACACATGCAAGGTTATAATACATATACTTAAAGACATTTTTAGAAATATGAAAAGGTTATAGAACATACATATTTCAATTGAAATCATGCTAGTTATGAAAAGCTAGCTAGATATGGATAGATTTCTACTGGCGTTAGGTTCTTAACATTAATATATCTTGGTACTTGTTTCTAATGAACCCTTCAGGAATCTATAAATAAAAAATAGTGTAATTTTTGTAATGTTTTCCTTAATTTTACGCCTCTTAAAGACGAGGGAATTTCAGATCACTGCTACACTACTTAATTATTATGTTTTTCCCTGTACATATATCATATGAACTAGGTAAAGAATAGATAGAGACTAATGATACAAGGATTATCTGTCACAAAGGAAAACTTTAAACTAAGGATAAGACAGATTTGGAAGAAAAAGCACTTACATATTGTTCTTGTAGCTTTGAAATGCTGGAAACAAGTTTGACAAGGCTGGTGTTTTGACATTACATTGCCCTTTAAATAGAACTTGCAAGTGGCGGTTGTGTTAGTTCCTTTCTAGAAGTTCTTTAGTGTTTAGTAACCTTATACTTGACTAATAAGTATTCTAATGTAAGTTGAGAAAGACAGTTAATTGGTTTCCAATTCTTGTAGGTAGTGTTAGTGATTAGAAGCACTAGCTACTAGGTGTTTGGTAACAGATACTACTTGCAAACCAGTGGTTGTTTTACAATTTTGTCCATTGTTTTAACTTGTCCATTATATAAAGAAACATGTTAGTATCTTTTATGCCACTATATTCCAAGTTTGGAAAGGAACACAAGAAACTTTTCCTTGTAAGAATACCAAAGTGACTTTGACATTACAATTTTGTCCATTGTTTTAACTTGTCCATTATATAAAGAAACATGTTAGTATCTTTTATGCCACTATATTCCAAGTTTGGAAAGGAACACAAGAAACTTTTCCTTGTAAGAATACCAAAGTGACTTTGACATTACAATTTTGTCCATTGTTTTAACTTGTCCATTATATAAAGAAACATGTTAGTATCTTTTATGCCACTATATTCCAAGTTTGGAAAGGAACACGAGAAATTTTTCCTTGTAAGAATACCAAAGTGACTTTGACATTACTTAAATTCTCATTACGGAATTCAGTTTGCTACTTTAGTGATGTTTAAAGTATGCTCCGGGTAGGGGATTACAATACTTTTTTATTTTTGGTTCCATGTAAACTTTATTTGGAGTGCAACAATTTAATAGAACAAAATGAATTGACTATTTGAATTGTTCCCTTTCATTTCCAGTGTTGGATTGAACTTGGTGTTTCCGATGTGGGATCATCATCAGATGAAGATGAGATGATGAGCGAGGCAACACATACTTTGTTTGTTGCTATGGAACTGTGCACAAGGTTTGTAAAGTTTAATTAGTCCCAAATAATTATTATTACATAAAAGTTCTCACATATTTTTATTATTTGTATCTTTAGCACCCTTCATGCTAGACTGGAAGCAAAGATAGAGAAGGTGCCTGTGTTCCGCTATCTCAAAGAGCTGCTGGAGGGGTTGCAATTCATCCATGAAAAGGGAGTTATTCATGGAGATTTGTCTCGAGACAATATCTTCCTGGATGATCATGATCATATTAAAATAGGAGATTTTGGCTTGGGTAAGTTGTTTATTCCATTTCCTTTTGTTTGTTTATTTATTTATTTATTCCGTCAGTATTAATTAGGTTATAACTTTTATGCCCCAACAAGCAATAACCAATTAAGAAGGAAAACCATTAAAGAACTTCTTTAGCATCAGTGAAATTAGGAATAGCTAATACAAGAGCTTCAACCATAGCCTTCTTTAAAGCTCTGAATGGTTTCTCAACTTCTTCATCCCAATTGAAATCAACGGTGGCTCAATCAGATATGTGACCTAAAACAAAAACTTATAAGAGGCTCTAATTTTTTTTTAGTAATATTTAATATATTTTATTAGATGTTTATTCTTATAGTTTCCTAAAATACAAGAAAGTTAATTATATTTGGATAATCAATTTTGTTTCACTTGTCAATATGGTCAGTACGTGTAATTTTCATGAGTCATTGTTGATCTTAAGTTAGTTCGTATTGATTTTAATTTACAAACTTTTTTCAATTGAGGCAATTGTTAGAGAAAATATTAAATTTATTCTATAAGCAATAGAAACATTTAAAAAAATAGAATTAAGACTTACATATGCAAATTAGAGTATCATCTTCTATTTGTACAATTTCCTATCACTTTTAATTTCAAAAGTTGGTAGAACCATCAATTTCATATATCATTATGCTTCAAAAGATATTCAAGGTTAATAGCATATGTGGCCAAGCTTCTCCAAAGGCAAAAATGCTTTTTCTTCACAAAAAAAAAAGTACTATCTTTTTTAAGAAGTTGAGGTGTTTGCCCAAGCTTTTAGGAGGAAAAAAGCTATAGGACAACACATTTTTCTAATCTAATCATTTAATAATCTAATTAGCTTATTTAAATAGATACTCAAAGAATTGAAAAAATTAAATGCATTAGACAAAATTAAGATAGGAAGTAGCTACAAATTTTGTCACCTACTATTTTCAATCGTAATTACATTTAATCATATTTTAAAATTTACTTATTATAAACTTTAAAAATATGGATTTAGTGTTTGATAAAAAATTGACAACATATGATTACAAAAGTTTTATTTTTCACTAATAATAAATATATAATTATTTGGGGCCTTAATTTTTGGGGGACCTTAAGCCGCTGCTTTAGTGGCTCTAGGGTCAGTCGCCCCTGATTGAGATCATCCAAAATCTGAGCCAATGCATTTGTACGTGATGTTTATGTATGTTGTACTTCAAATCTGAACTGTTAGTAATTGAAATGCAAGTCTAGTCCTAGCCATCCACGTCTACTACTCATTACTCCTAATCAGCTAGCTTAACCATTAATTGACCTTAACTAACTTTTTAACTATCCGTGTGTTTCAATTTAAATGACACTTCCCTATTATCCGTTCCAAAAAGAATGACACATTTCTATATTTAGACACAATTTAACTTTAAATTTTTTATTTTACCCACTTTACTCTAATTAATGAGAAGTTTTTATAGCCATACAAATATTATGGCTCCACAAAGCTTTTGCCCCTTAAGCTTTTAGGACCACTTGTTTTAAGTGTTTTTTTTGTCTTAAACTTTGTGCCAAATCAAAGTACATCTAAATTGAAACGAAGGGAGTACTTATTAAGCTGGATCATAACAATTACTTGCAGCGTTTTAACTTGCCTTTTTCTACAATAACTTGCAACTTTTTAACTTTTCTTTTTCTTTCATTTAGCTCGTAACACCGGAGATGACTCAATTCCTATTGGGGATGGATTGGGTAATATGATGTATCGAGCCCCTGAGTTGTCTATTGATCCTCGTTTAATTAGCACAAAATCCGACATGTTTTCTCTCGGATTAGTGCTTTTTGAGTTGTCATGTCCATTAGCAACTGGATATGAAAGAGCCAGGCAATGTGAAATTCCAGAAGAAACGGTAGATGAAACTTCCAGAGAAATAATTTGTCAGCTCTTGAAGAAGGATCCACAGCAGCGTCCTTCAGCAGCTCAGTTGCTTCATCGTTACTTCCCGTAGTTTTAGAACCTAAGGTATGGCTAACGACTTCCGTTACTATAACAATATACTTATGGCTGTATGCTTCCTCTATGTAATCTGTACTAACTTGTTCCATTTTCTACTTTCCCTACTTATTGCAGAAAAGGACATCCGTGCAGGTTCAAAGGGACTACTATATTAGCCTGTTAGATATTGTTGAACCTTCTCTCTGTATATATAACCATTGGGCTACTCTAATCTTCTAAAAGAAAAGTTTCTAGGCAAAGGAGAAAATGGCAAAAAAGATTACACTCTGTAGCAAATTTTTAGTTTCTTTAAATAATTTTTGTTCTTTTACATGGTCTGTAATAGTACATTTTTGTCATGTTATTTCTTCATTGCCCTTCTCACTAATGAATTAATGACTCTACCCGAGAATCATTACCATTGAGTTATAGTAGTTACTTCTTCCGTTCGCTTTTACTTGTTCACTATACTAAAATATTTTTTCAGTTTTACTTGTCCATTTTAACAAATCAAGAAAAAAATAATTCCTTTTCCCGTTCTACCTTATCATTAACTACTCATTTTCTAAGAGTTTTTGAAATGATATTATTATTTTGGGTAAAATTATAAATTAACTTCATTTCTTTAAAGAGGCATGCAAAATCAAAAGTGGACAATTAAAAGAATGTGTACTTTTCTTAAAAGATTCTTTCACTGATGGTGAAGTACAAGTAATGAAGGGACCCCAATTCCTTTGCTAACTTTTATTCAACGGAGGGTAGTTTTGGAGTGAAGACCTTTACTTCTGAATTATTATAACAAAGTCATTTCACACAAAGAAATTTTTTGTAAAAAAATGGGATAGAGGGATTAATAAAAAAGAATTGATTTAAGTTTTTACTACTATATGAATGTAGTTTTTCTATTCGGACGTGTATATCAAATTCACACGACTCAAAAAGGATTTTATAAAAGCTTATATTATACAAATTGGAGTAGATAGAGAAGTATACCTAAGCTGAAAATTAGTTTATTAGCAGAAATTAAGAATTAGAGAATTTCAAATACCTTATAAACTATATGGCAGATTTTGGTAATCAAGAAAACATTAGGAGAGGTTTGTGCCACAGAACTTAAATTTATCTGAAAGGAGTAGCTGATAAATGTTTGTTCTGTGCACTGACCGTGTATAATTTTTCCAAACAATCAGGTTAAGTTATTTGCAATAATTAATAGATAGTTGTTTATAAAGATATTATAACCGTGACAATAAAGTATATAACTTGTTATATCATATTAATTATAATAATAAATTAAAAATTCTTTACAGTGTCTATTTATGTAACTTAAACTCGTACACGTATATCATGAAACTACTCATTTTTCAAACACACAGAAAAAATTGCAAAATGAAGAGGAATAATTTATGATACCAATAATATGAAAGAAGAACATCCAACCCACAAACTTAATGCAATAAGGTGAGTGACTTAGAACATTATAAACTCCTCTAAAAACTCTTACACAACCAATGATGAATAGACAAGTGAGGTTTGCTTAGTTGGTAAAAGCATTTCTATCCACGATCATTAGATTTTTTGGGTTTGAGTCCCACTAAAGGAAAAGTGGGAAAACACTATAAATCCGCCTAAACTGGGAGGGATTTTTTTTTTTAAAAAAAAACAATGATGAATAGGGTATTCTTTAACACCCTCCCGTACGTGTAATCCATTTCTGAGGTTGACACATGGATTTTTTCTCCTTTTTCCTTGAAGTATTGAGAGAAAGAGAGGAGAGAGAAAGCTCAACATGATTGGCCTGGAGTAAAGGAGGACAAATTAATTAAGATCAATAGGCTAATTAATGACTAGGCCAGCAGCAATGTTGGATTAATGGCTTGATGGATTGAATTACAATAACAATAACATATTCAGTGTAATCTTATAAGTGGGATTTGGGAAGTGTAACGCGCATGCAGACCTTATCCCTATCGTGTGAAGGTATAAATACTGTCTCCGTTAGACTCTCTACTCAAGAAGAGAAAGAAAAATAGATACATATACACAAAGATAAAAGCATATCACTTATAAAAGATAATTGCTACTCTATTAGATAAGTTCTATGTCCTAATAATCTCTCTTACTCCATGAATATACTCAACCATCATGGATCCAATGGTGGATCTACGCTTGGCGGTATGGGCGGCTTTTGTCAAACTGTTTTATATATGGATATATAATACTTAAAAAAGTCTATAAAGTGGTCATGAGCACCCACCGTGCTAAAATTAGTTAAGCACCCACGACCTGTAAATTTTGGATTCGTCAGGATCACTTCCTTTTGGACATAGTGTGTAGCATTCTTTTGAAGTGGTCTACTTGACAATGAATCCTTAAGGCTCCAGGTTGATTGTAGCCAAGTTCAAGAGCAGAAATGTCAAGTAGAGTTACAATACAAGGGTGTTTCATCAATTTCATTGGTATCATTACTCTTTCCATTTCTTCTTCATTTCCTACAATCATAGGGATGTATCCTTTTCGAATTGCTTGATCGTCTTTCTCTTGCATATCGCTGAATCTCACATAACTATCACTGCAGCTATATGCTGTACATTTTTTCTCTCTTGCTCCAAATGATCTCATCCTCCCCATTATTTTTGCCATTTGTGAGAAAAACTACTATAGCTAGCTTATGATTTAAGAATTTGCATAAGCTACACTTGTACCCTCTTGAATATTTATACTAATGCAAATGTAATAAAGGAAATATATAATTTTTTTAAGATGTCGTTTAATTAGTTGTTATATTAAGTGACTCCAGGGTCATCACTCATCACCTGATTAATGCTTTTATAAATTGTTTGGTATGAGTATATATTCTCTTAGAGAGGAAATGATCTCCTATGGCCAATTACAATTTAAATAGAAGAAATAATCTTACAATGATTTCTTGTGTTATTTACTTATAATTATTTCATGTGAAAAGGATTACCTTTTACGTGTATATATATCTTTTGTTTTTCTCTCTGTAATATAGAAGAAAAAGAAAAAGGGGAGAAAAAAAAAGAAATAAAGGAAGAAGAAAAAAGCTCGGCTATGGTTATGCTAAATTTCCAATCTCGATTGATTAAAGAGCAGTCCAGTATATAAAATATCCCCGTTAATACAAGATAACCAATCTCATTGATTATCCTTTTTAATTGCTTTGGGTGTCGTCTTCTATAATATGTATAAAGAAAGCGACGATCAGGTTGGAGTATACCACAAAGATATTGCACATTTAAAAAAAAAAACGATATTGGCGAATCATCAAGTAAGGTTGGTATTTCTTAATTTCTTTATTGGTTGTGTTTGAAGTAGTTATATCAACTAAAATTTTCTAAGTGAATATTATTTTCTCAGCTATTTAAAGTTCCTAAAAAGAAAAGAAAGACTCAAGAACGTGATTTCTTTTTCGAATTAGTTAATTAATTTAATAAGATATTTAACAAGAGATATGGATTAGAATATAACATGCACGCAAGNATATATATATATATATATTATACATTTTTTTGGCTATCAAACGTTAATAGTTTCTTTTGGTATATGATATTACTCTTACTTTAGCTTTGCAAGTAAAAACCCAGCTTTTTGACCATTGGTTAAAATAAAAAGCGTATTACTCGTTCATTTTCTTTTTCAACGGAAAACTAAAAATATTAAGAGTCATTTTTTAAAAGTTAGTATAGACTAGTATCATTTTGGCGACACTGCGAATATTTGTTTCTATAATTCTTGGAAAACAAGGAAATTAAAATATTTGAGTTTTCTTTCTCCAGTACTTACCTTTGGAGAATTGAGATCATTAATTAAAGGACAAGTAATACATTAATTATCATGAGTTATTAAAAATAAAATTGGAGATCATTATATTTTGAACATACTTTATCATTCCTAAAGACTTTGAGAAGGTCTCTTTTGATCGGATAAATAAAGGGATTACTCAAGAGATTGTGTCATTAGATTTGATTCTTGATATCAAGCATGTTTATTGCCATGAATTATTCATGCGTTAATTAATTAAGAATATATTTAAATGCATGACATTGCTTACATCACTTAATTAGTAAATTGATGTTGGGTTTTATATGTATGGCACCAAACATGCTGTATCGATCTATGTAGTGTGAGATGGTGATTGAAGCCATTTATGTGCCTTCTTCTTTATGGTGATTAGGTTCTGGTCAACTTTTGAGTGTATGCCTATTATGTTTGGCCAGGAAGAAACAGGAACGAAGAATCGCGAGCAGCACGGTGCATAAAGCATCTCATATTTATGTAGGGTTTGGGGAAAGACTGCACCCCAAGGAATGTGATGTAGATAGCCTACCCTACGCAAACATTATTGTTTGCTTTCCATCTCGAACCCGTGACCTATAAGTCATACGGAGATAATTTTAACGTTACTTCAAGGCTCCCNTATATATATATATATTATACTCTAATTATATATATAAAAGCTATTATACATATACTATTTAAGATATTTTGCCTTTGTTTTAGAAAGGATTTCTATTAGATAAAGGATAAAGGAAGGAGAAGGAAGACTGGGAACGATAAAAATTAAATTCACACTTATTGTGTAAGAGATTTTTACCGGTACCACTAGGCAATAAACTTCGGGAAACATTACGGGTTGTCGCCTGCCTTTTTCATTAAATAACCCTTAATCACTTATAGGGCTACTTATCGGCAGATTGGGCGGATATTTACGCTTAAGGTTCGGTTTATAGGTTATTGGCTTACAAATGTAGGGCGATGTACACAAATAATCATTAAGAGCACATGTCTTTACTTTAAAGCCAGTGTTTTAAATGTAATTAGTCTGTAATCACTGGTTTAATAAACTTTTACCTGACTGGACGAAAATACCCTTCTGCTATAACTTATACCTACGCTTTTATTAAATTTTACCTGACTAGACGATCAGCAGCAGCAGCACCAGATTGTGATCGTCGAATTTCAAACTCTAGAATTGCAGAAGCTTCTCTTCCGATTTGAAACTATAGAATTCAACTTTCTCGTCTCAAAATCAACATAAATTTATAGTAAGTTAGGCTTTTGTGTATTTCTATTGATTTTTATTTCGTTACTAGGAATTTGATTTTTTTTTTGAATTTCTGGATTGATAAGGTTAAGGACATCGCGTCCTGTGATAATTCTATAAAAATTGAGCACATAATGTTAAGGATTTGGTGTCCTTAACATGACCGTTGTTACTAATATTAAGGACATAGTGTCCTGATTTTGCAAATTGAATTGAAAAAGTTAAGGACACAATGTCCTTAACCTTTTTGCTGTTCTTCTGAATATTAAGGACATAGTGTCCTGATTTTGCAAATTGAATTGAAAAAGTTAAGGACACAATGTCCTTAACCTTTTTGCTGTTCT